CGAACCGAGCCATATCGTTAATATACTTTTTGTACAACCTGACAGCGCAGTGTTCTTTGCTCTTCGTGATCCGTCCCTCTCTGGACGCGCTTCCCTGTCTGTCAGTCCGGGCCGGCATCACCTCGATGCCGGCACCGAAGTTTCAAACCGGACCAGCACAACCAACGCAGCAGTGCCAATCCCGGCCACTCGGCCGCAACCAGCCGGTTGACAGCCCGAGTCCTGAGGTGCGGGTGATTACGTTTGTGTCGCACCGCACGGGGGCTCGGGTTGTTGGAAAAGAAAGGAAAGGAAAGGAAAGGAAACTGAAGAAAAGAAAGGGCAACTACTGCCACATCTTCTCTTTCGTCGCCGAAGACAGTGACGTGCGCGACACTAGCCTACCCCTAAAATATGTCAACAAACAGGTCTATCCCCAGATTTAACCCACTTTCTATCCAAAGTTAGGAGGAGTGGAAGCTAAGTTGGGGGGTTGAGGCCCCTAACCAAAAAGAAAACAACACCCCCCGAATATTCTACACCCTGAGCAAGCTCGGATAAATATAACATGGTACAGCCTTCATGCAATGCATAGCATCACAGCACACCTGTCGTTGCTAATGGAGAGCACTGATTGTTAGTGTGACACACCAGATTCAAGGTTAGGAGCGTGTTTTCCCTGTCCCCTGATGTTCCTGAAAATGTGAGCTCATCTTGGCAGCAACTGTAACATACCCTTCCCTGCGGGCCAGGTTTCTCAATTGTCCATTCAGACCCTTTCTCACCATGCTTGGATGTCGATGTCATTGCACCAAGATTTGGCACTGAACAAGCAATGCTGAGTTGTTTTTGGCTTCCTTGCTTGCTTCACTGCGGGAAGGGACGGTGCTGTTACATGGGTTGGCCTTGCACTGTAATAATAATAACAACTGGGGGATTTATGTTTCGCTGACTGCCAGTGTCATTTTGAGAGAGATGACCTTATTAGGGTGTCATGTGGAATGTGGTGGTGGCTGGCAGAGGCCCAAACCCCAGACCTGCAGGTCCTGAGTTAATTGGAGCACCCTAAACACTAGACCACCACCATCACCGGGTCTTGCACCATGCAGGGGTTGCCAGTAATTTATTACTTCCATTGAAAAAAAATGTGCAATGAGTTGCTGTAATCCAATGGTTGTTAGGGATACTTAACACAGCTTGTTGCCAGTAGGTGATGTAATTTTGCATGGTCATGCCAAACAAGGCTTATCCTACTACTAATCATATAGGAATTCCTGGCCAATAATTCCCAAATTCCACTGCTTTACAGAGGCCAAAATCGACTCTCGTTTCAACGAATCAAAGGTATGAGTACATTATCTGTCATTCTCAGACCCCAGGTTATGTGCAACGTACCTATTGTGACAACTGCCAAACTGTGGTTTATTCAGGAAGTGGTACACCGTCGAACTAGACACCCATACGCAACACATACAAAGGACTCATTAGCTGGAGACTAGTCATACACCACATGCAACCCTGAGAGCTAGCATAAGGGCATGCAGCATGCAGTAACGAGAGCGTCCACGACCACATGCACCAGGCAACCACCATGCAAGCCACTACCGCATGCGGCACCAACAGCACATGCACAATCACCAAGGCATGGAGAGTGCGACCAAAAACAGACTGACCGAGCCTGGCTGGACAGCGAAACCAAGACTTCAGAACTTCTTCGGTTACCATACATCAAGCCTAACTGGGGCCGTCGGCGCCGTTCGCTTCCTCTCCGATAAGAAAACGCTTCTCCCTCAGTCGTCCCTTCCGTCCAGTCGGCGGGGGATTCCATCCGAGTTTCGCCTAACTCTGTACCATTCTGCATCCGGAACCGATAATCCAAGCCTCTGCTGCTGCTTCTTGGTTCTCAGTCTCTGCTGCTGCTGCTTCCTCGTTTCCAGGCCCAGCATCCTTCAAATCTTCGTCCGCAATTTTCATATCTGTATCCTCGTCCTCGTCCTCGTCCCTCAGGAATCCTGAACTTTCAGTCAATGAACCGCCACCCATCACTTCCTCACCTCCCCTCCTTGCGTCTTCCTCCTCTCTAACTGCTTCATCCCTGTTGAACGCATCCAAACCGTCACCTTTCTTCGCTTCCTTTGGCCCTTCTTCTCCCCTTCGTTGATGACATGGCTTAAGTCGATCGTGATGGACCACCATCCGATATTTCGGTCTCTCTTTCAGCCTGACCCGGTAAGTCACACCTTCTTGCGAGACCGTAACCACTTGATGTGGCCCACACCACGACACCTGCAACTTTGGAGAGCGGCCCACCTGTCTCGTCGGTTTGTACAGTCATACCATATCCCCGACTTGATAGGCATACTGACGAGCGCCCCACGCTTGCCTTTCTCCGTCGTTTCCGAACCTCACGTGCGATGTTGTCTTGCACTCGGCGCTGAGCTTGACGGAGGGATTCCATCATCTCTTGCACGTACTCCGTCTTGTCACGAGTCGATTGTCCATCACTATGCGCAATCTGAACGGGCAGTCTGACTTGCCGCCCATAGAACAGGAAGAATGGCGACTCTCTTGTGGTTTTGATGACGCTTGTGCGATAAGCGAACATAAACGAAACGTTAGGTACCTATCCCAGTCTCGCTGATCTTCACGGACATACATCGACGCATGGCGCACAGGATGTTGGTTCAATCTTTCAGTTTGTCCGTTGCCTTGTGCATGGTACGGAATTGTTCGGGTCTCGTTTATGTTCAGCCTCCTGCAGATCTCCTGGGTTCCTGTCGCTTCAAATTTTCTTCCCTGATCCGAGTGGATCACCTCGGGATACCCGTGGCGATATATAAGCTCTTCCACAAAGATCTTGGCCACGGGAACAGCCGCCTGGCCAGAAAGTGCGAAAGCTTCTGTCCACTTCGGAAACCCGCACGTCACATCCAGTATGTAGCGGTTCCCTCCGTTTGTTCTGGGAAAAGGACCCGTTATACCCATTGCAACCCACTAACATGGACGGTCCAACACGGGCATCTCCCCAAAAAAGGCTCTGCCGGGGGGAAGGGAGACCCTTTTTCTTCGCGCAGAATTTGCATGTTCGGACACATGCCCTGACATCCTGAAACAATGAGCTCCAATAAAATCTAGCTCTGACTTTTTCTACCGTATTCGTCACCCCACGATGACATGCAGAACAATCGTCGTGACAACTCGCGAGCGTATCTTCCACATGTGCCTTCCGCACAAAGACCTGCCGGTGCTCAGCGCCGTTCCGGACGAGTACACGGATCAGCAGTCCCTGATCATCTACCCGCAATCTTTCCTGTTGAGGCATGTAGTGCTTCACCACTGGTGATGCAGACGCAGGACATGGACGCCTCCTAATCAGTTTAATGACCTCCGCCAGGTCCTGGTCTTCTTGTTGAGCCAATCTTACTTCAAAGTCATTATCAAGCGTCGTCGCCCGCACCTCTATCGTGCATTGTCCTTGGCCGTCATCTACAGAGGACAGGACATCTGCATGCGGAAGGCTGGATCCTGGCCGGTACTGGAGCTCATAGTCCAGCGCTTCCAACTCCAGAATCCACCGCGCCAGCTCGCTTGCCCCTGGGATCCTTGCTCTGTCAGAGATGAACCAAAGGATTGTGGTCAGTCCGCAGTATGAGGTGCTGCCCATGCAGATACACCCGGAAACGACGACTAGCCCAAACCAGAGCGAGACACTCTCGCCCGGCTGCAGAGTATCTCCTCTCTGTCTTAGTCAGACTGCGACCAGCATATGTCACAACACGTTCCCTGCCACTTTCCTCTCCAGTCAGCACGGCCCCCCAGGCCTACATCGCTGGTGTCCGTTGTCAACGTGAACGGCTCCCGGGAGTTCGGGTAGCACAGCACCGAGAGATAAATTTTTATTTCAACGTGGCAAAAGCCACAGCGCACTCTTCCGTCCATCTGAAGCAAGAGGCACCGTCTAGAAGTCGATGCAGAGGTCTTGCCAGGCGGGCAAACAGTGGAATAAAGCGTCGGAAGTACGAGGTTGATGCCAGGAACTCACCCCCCCCCCCCCCTGATGAACGACGGGGTTGGAAAGCGCTGCAATGCAGACACTTTCGAGGGATCGGGGGGGACACTCCTTTCCACTGACTACATGCCCGGAGAACTGAACCTCCTCCGAAACAACCTACACTTCCTCGGATTCAGTGTCAGATTTGCTGCTCGCAGCGCTCCTAAAACAATCTCCAATCTCTCCAAACTTTCACTGAATGTTCTTCCAAAGGCGATTATATCGTTGAGATACACAAGACAGATGTTACAAACGAGACCCGCCAGTGCCACTACCATCAGCCGCTGGAACGATGCTGGCACCCCCTTCAGGCCCATGGATGTCAAGTTAAATTCGATCAGTCCTTTGTGCGTTGCAAAAGCAGTCTTCTGTTTATCCTCCTCCTTGAGCTCCTGCTGACAATACCCACTTTTCAGATCCATGGCATGGAAACACTTAGCCCCGGACAGGGTGTCCATTTGCGACGCCATTGCGACACCGACACCATTACGACACCAACAGTACATGCACAATCACCAAGGCATGCACAAGCAACACGTCATGCTATATTTGCCACTTAGTTTGACCGGCACACAACTCACAAACAAGAGGACGCTCATTTAGTACACCTTCCGAAAAACAAGAGACGGCCACCTCACCTCAAGTGACACTTCAAGTGCGTATCCATTTTTGAACTCGGACAAACCAACTGATCAAACGGCCCAAATTGCGACCATTATTTCCCGCTTGATTACCGATCTCATCGACATTATATTCATCGTGCGCGACTATGCGCTGGTAGGTGACCGCGATCGTTAGAGAGCTTTGGCTGCGATACTTATGCTCAAGAGAATGAAACAACTGCGTCGTTTTTGGAACCCGTTCAGATGCGGTGACAGACTGACGGACGTGACAGATTGGTGGCAGCTGAATCCATTGGTGGCGGCTGGGTGTAAGCCTATAAGGTGAGGTAGCGCTGTTAGGACGCCCACTCTTCGCATGTTGCTGCCATTTCGGTAAACGAAGAAGAACAGGCAAAATGACAGTGATGTGATAGAAAGCTGTATGTTCGTAGAAATGGATGAAAACAACTTTTGCTTCAACAGGGCGGCGCTGGTTCCTCGCTTCGATGATTACGGGCTACTGTGGTGTGAATCTGTAGGAGTCCGGTGAGGTGTAGACGTGTTGAAAAGGTATAACATTGAAGTGTGCATTGGGGGCAGGGTTATATGTATAATTTTGAAATCTGGGTGAGGTCCACTCATGTCTTTTACAGAAAGCCTCTGCCTTGGTGCTGCGTTTGCATTTGTCCATGCTGATGTTATGGTCAGTCTTAAGATGCTTAATTTTCAATGAATTTATTATGCAAAACCATATTGATGCTGGGTGATGGACAATGCATTTCAGTTCATTGTACCACATAATTCCACACTTGTTCCTTACTTGAGGCTTTTCCTTCTTTCACATAATTGTGCATTCAGTGAGCTCAGGAGTTCTTGCATTTCAAAGGCATTTTTCAGCCAAAGATGGCCTGAAGATGTCCCCAAATTTTTGTAGGAAGTTCAGCCCATGTTGACCTGGCCTGTGGTATATGCACACAAGTACATGGTTCTGCACACCTATGTCACATAGACATCCACCACAGTGGAGGGATATTTTTTCCATTCTGCTTCTCATCTTTCACAAAACTTGTACTCGCTGGACTTTTTAAAGAAAATTGTGTCTCATCATGAGGATATTTTCTGCTTGACTGCATTAAAATTCACAATTTGTGGTATATAATGTTATTGCATGACTGTGAAATGCAAGCAGTCTAGCATGTTCATTGTAGACATTTGTTTATTTTGCAGTTGTCAGCCTTCATATATTACACAACATTCATCAGTGATTAATCTTTTAGTGTTTGGTTTATACAATGTTGTCAAAATTTTGCATGCTGTTGGCCTTCACAGGCACAGATTCTGGATTTACATTTTGGCATGCATGTTTTTACAGATAATGTCCTCCAGAAATCTACGCAAATTGAAGGGCAAACCGTTTATTGCTGAAGAGCCTGCCATTCAAGATGAAGAGGAGAATGATGACCTGACCAGGGACACTTCCACACAGCAGAGAAACATCTTCAGTCTGGTAATTCATTTGAGTCACATGCGCATTTTGTGGAAGCATGTTTAATTTTCTCTGTGCCATTCAGTATGATAGACATCTGCATTTCCATTGAAAAATGATGCCCAAAATTTTGGTGGGATGGGTTGCTGGTACAAGGCTGCTTGCTATGCCAGGCTTGTGTGAGCCCCGACCTCACCAACTGATCTAGAAAGTTCAGTTTGATAGTATTATTTTCTGGTGAATGATAAGTGGTTGCCAGTGCTCTTCATGGTCCTTTCTGCCAGCTTACCTCATCTGACCTTTAGTGACCATTGCCACCAGCTACAGGTCATTCTAGCTAGGGGCAAATAGCCAGCACTGGCATGACTGGAGTCCACCCGACCAATTACGGGGGGGGGGGGGGCAGGATGCAGGTACTCCAACCAATGGAGCTACAGCAAGATACAGGGGCATCAAATACGTTATGGGCTACTTCACACTGATGGCTGGGATTTCCATGTCATTACCAGTTAGTCACAGCCAATGCCAGCAGGGACAGTCACTCGCCATGATGCGTCAGTGGCGGCCGTCGCCTGCATTCAAATTCTTCCGTCGCCTGCAGTGCGGGGTCGTAAGACCGCACGTGTATGTGCTTGAGTAATCAATATTTTACCTCTGCATTTGTGGAAAGGCAAAGCCTTTACCAAAGCTTTTGCCTTTTTCAAAGCCTTTGAACCCTCTCTGCAATGGTCTGGAGTTGACTTTCACCACGTAAAAGTAACCGCATCCCCGTTTCCAACAGTGGCCGCGGGCGCCAATCTGGGTCACGGGCCTCCCCCGTGCGTCCGCACACGACGCGTCCGCGGCAGCGCTGGCTACCGCGCCTGCGCCGACGTCACGTGACCCCCGCCTTTGCGCGGCAGCTGAACGAGTCGCAGTCGGAGACCGACGTCAAGGAGGATGACGACGTGGACACCAGCACGCCGGCGGCGCTGCTGCCGGCCGGCGACGCGCACCGCAAGCGTAGGCGCAAGCGGAAGAAGGCGTCGCGGCGCCCGCAGACGGCCAGCAGCGAGGACAACGCCGTGTCCGAGGTGCCGGTCGTAGCCGGCTCGCCGTGGCCACGCAGCTGGGGCGGAGGCCCGGCGGCCGGCGGTGCTCTGGTGGGCGGGTGGAGGTCTGGACTGGGGTGCGCTCGGCTTGCGACAGGTGCTGGGAGCAGAGAGGCGTAAGTTGGGGTGTGCAGGTGCATGGTGGTGCTGCCGAGTAGCGTATATGTGTCATGCTGTCAGTTGGACACAAGATGACCTCAGTTATCGACGCGCCCGAAAACTCCAATACGCCAATCATGATGTTAGGCTGGCAAATGTCTGCCGTAAAAAACTACGCATTTTAACTAGACATATTAAGGCCAGGTCGGTGTCGACCGAAGTTCGTTAGAGCTGAGGGAGCGGGAGGAGCAAGTCAGTTTATGGCCCATTTATTTCCATGTGGTATTTATTGTAAGGCTAAAATGTTTTGTTATTTTTATCTGTTGTTGTTGACCAAACTGTTTCTTCATTCTGAAGTGGACGGTCGTGCCAACAGCGGTCCGCACTGTCGCCGCCAGCTGCGTCTAGAGCCAGGGGTGCCGCGTCCTCCCCCTCCCGTGGGCGGGCGTCTGACGTCCGACCGGCCGCCAGGTGGATGAGGTGGACGCCAGCGTGCTGGAGGTGGACCGGCTGGGTGCCGCGTCCTCCCCCTCCCGTGGGCGGGCGTCTGACGTCCGACCGGCCGCCAGGTGGATGAGGTGGACGCCAGTGTGCTGGAGGTGAACCGGCTGCTGGGCGAGCTCACTGCACAGTCGCCGGCCGCCGAGCACGCCAACAGCACCATCGTGAAGAACGTGCTCACCATCGAGCGCAAGCACCTGGTGGGTGGCGGCCGACGGATGCCACTGTGCTGCGGACTGGCCCGGCTGGCCGGGTCACGTGGGGCCTGGGGTGTGCTTGTCATGGGCTCTCATTCCGCGGAGTGGCTTAGTTTAAGGTCGGATGTTGGGAAGTGAGCGCGTGAAGGTCGTGGGTCGTTAAGGTTTCCCACGGTAACGTCTGGCAGTGCTTATTTTTTTAGAAGCTTCTGAATAGAATGGGATTGTGTCTCAATGTTTGGTGAGGTGATTGGCGAGGGCCCAATAGTGCATAGTTCACACTAGTAGAGCAATAGTGTACTCTTAGTGCACTAGTCAAAGCCTGTCATCACATTAGCCTCCCTGGCGCCATGGTGTATTTCGCCTCCTGTCGTCTCCCGGACCACGGGTTGGCGTTATGTTCGCCTACTGGCCACAACCTGGACGTTATGCTCATCTACTGGCCAGAACCCGGATGCCGAGATGCGCCGCATGTTTGGCCGGGACGTGGTGGACCAGCGGCGGACGGGGCGGCGGCGCGGCCCGGGACACCCGCGCGCCTTCGCCATGGTCACCAATGTGCACCGCTTCCCGCCACCCGTCAGACAAGGTCAGTGACCTGACGACCCTAGGATGGATCAGGTCAATGGTGAGTACTCCCGCGTGGGGACAATTGTCGGTGTGCAGTACGGATCGGAGGGCGGTCGAGGGTCGCCGTTCTTGCTGCCCTCGGGTGAGGCTGGATCAGCGGTTAGTTCTGTCCCCTCCCTCTTCCCCTCTGCGGTCAGCCTAGACCGATTTAAGGACAAAAGCGCACATGGAAAAGTATGACTGCATGCAGCACGCAAGCATTTGTTTGCTAGCAAATGCACCTTATATGTAAAGCGATATGACAGATGTGCTTATGCTTGCATATGCATAAGCATATGCTCGTACTGTTGAAAGTGCGTTTGGAAAATACTCTTATTGACAAGACTTTGTCAGGACTTATGTCAGGAAAGCTCGTATGCGTAGGATATGTACGCACTTTTTGTAAGCGATTGAACGTATACCAACGTTCGTAACGGACACAGTCGGTTTGACAAAAATACGTACGCAAAAGTTCGTGGGCAGTCTAATGGATAGGAACGGTGGCCCTTTGGTGCACCCAACTTTCCGAAAATGCTAAACATTAACCCTGTGACGATACATGGAGATTAACTTGTGGATGGTGGATGACATTTCTACTGGGATTGGTCCAGGCCAGACTGATCATCAGAGCACCAGCTTATGCACCGGCAGCTCTCAAACTTCGCCGAAGTTTGTTTTCCGGGGGCGATCTAAGGTATAAGTTCAGATGAACAATCTCCAACTCTATCCGGCGTAGAGTTTCCAAGTCCTGCTCTCGGGCAACAGTGGGTCGGGTGAAACAAGGCTGTAATCAAAGGGCTGCGTCAAAGCGGACGCAGCTGGTGCATTATTCCCTCTGGACTCTGATATGCCCTATGTAACCAGTCTATGCCGGGTGTCATTAGCGCGTCTGCCCGCCGTATTCCCCGATCGAGCTGGCTCGCCGCGTCCGTCAGCTGGCGTCAGGGGCGCGCTCAGGGGGCGGGGTCGTCGACAGAGGCATCGTCAGGGTGAGGGATAATCGGGGACGGCACAAGACACTCGCCGGATGATCTACAGTAGGCATGCTTTTTTAGTTTGTAAACCTTCAGTTCCCTCCGCCCCTGTTCATGTTGCATTGCTCCGATTGATTCGAGTTAGGTTGTTGGCCGTTTCAGGGCGTTTAAGTTCATGCCATGACGGGTCCAGCTGGTAATGCTACCTACCTGACCTTGCCCACGCAATCGTCACCATCTACCGCCACCTCCTACCCCTCTTCTCCCCAGCTGACATGTGGTGACCCCGCAGTGGCCATTCATCCAACGCCTGGCTCCAAGGTTGGATATTTGTATTCCAACGCACGGTGCACATCTGCGTACCGAATTCTGCGTTCCCTCTATTGTCAAACGAACCTCATCCCCGACGAACATTTGCGTGCACAATTTCGTGTACGTGATGTGGTGACGAAACTCGAACTTAAGCTTACGTGCTTCTGGTGAGATGAACGGCATCCTAGACTAGCCTTTACGCCCGAACATCCTTGTACAAGCAATCGTTTACGGGCTTTTGCGCACGAACTTTTGTGCGAGAGCACATTTTCGTTGCGGACTTTTTGCCGACGAACATGTTACCTTGCATTCTTTAGCTTAACGTTCCTTTTCGATAGCAAACTTTCCTCGTTGCTAACTTTGCGTATACCCTGCGTGTTCGCCTGAGGAATAATAGGCATGATAACTTTACCCAACAAACAATTATCATGTACTTTTCCGTGCGTACTTTTGTCTGCAACCCAATAATACCAGCGGTCAGAACTGCACGCTGCTCAAGCTGGGTCGGCGGTCATTGATGTACCAAGGTCAAGACGGACACGTGGTCGGCGCCACTCCCAAGGTCATACTAGGCAGACAAGCAGGTTCAGTGGCCTCTGCAGTCCCACGGTCAAGCTAGGCCAGTGGGTCAGTGTCGCTTGCAGGGTAAGCCAGCCGGGACAGCGATCAATGTCGCTCACAGCTGAGCTTAGTCATCTAAAAATATCGGTATCAGCAGGTGAAAATATGAAATCAGTGGGCAGTGCGCCGTCAAGCATGTCAAACTGACGCGGCTCATAGATCCAACACGATGCGAACAGTCCCACAAACATCGCCACACCATCACCAGGCCGACAGCGGCAGCTGGTCCCCGCTCCACCGTCTCTCCGCAGCGCTCGCGCCGCTCCGCCCTCCCCGCTCCATTCGGCGCGTGCCGGGCTGGGACACTGCCGGCGGCTCAGTGCCCGCCCCTCCGTCGCAGGCCTGTCCATGGAGCTGGTGGAGACGCGCGGCTCGGAGCAGTGGTTCCAGTTCGTGCACAGCGCCCAGTACCAGGAGGTGGAGCACCAGTTCGTCGCCGCTGTCGAGTCGGTGAACCCCGATAACATCCTGGTCAGTAGCGCGCTTGCTAGATGCCGCCCCGGTGTGGAGAGCGGGTGTAACGAGCTGGCTCTGGTGTATTGGCTGCTCCATGAGAGGAAAAGGCACCTGGGATTTAACCGGATGGTCGATTACTGCGACGACGGCATGTTCCGCGTGACGAGAACAATCGGCGCAGAACAGTGCGTTGGCTGGTGCATTTGCGGACCCAATACAGCACGAGTAAGATGTGCATGTTAAACTATTCGTGTGCTCTTGCACCGGCTTAGCTCAGTTGTTCCAGTTCATCCTGATGTGCCATTTCGTTTGCCTCTGTAAGATCTGATTGTGGCACTGACGCCACACGTTGTCACTGCAGCCTGTCGCTTAGGCCAGCTTCTTCATAAGCGTCAATGGCGGCAGGCGCTGGTGAGCACCACGTTCGGTCTGGCGGACGCCTGGCATCCGACCCACCTGAGCCGGACGTGCGCGCGCCGTCCGCTCCGTGACCTGGCCTGACCTGACCTGACCTGACCTCGGCCGGCAGGGGCTGATGAACCGGCACCCGGGCCACGTGAACTCGATGCTGCAGCTGTCGGAGGTGTGCCGGCTGGGCGAGGACCTGGCGCTGTCGGCTGAGCTGCTGGAGCGCACGCTGTTCACGCTGGAGGCGGCCGCCCACCCGCTCTTTTCGGTCACCTCGGGCGCGGCACGCGTCGACTATCGGCGCCGCGAGAACAGGTCTGAGCCGCCGCCGCCGCCACCGACTGTCGTGTGCGGCGCGAGACGGGCTGGGTCGAGCTGGTGGGGAGCTGGTCAGGGGTCGAGCCGGCGGGGAGCTGGTCAGGGATCGAGCCGATGGGAGCTGGTCAGGGATCGGGCCGGTAGGGAGCTGGTCGGAGGTGGGGTTCTGTTGGCGGACTGGTGACTCGCCATAAGTACTGGGTGTTGTGGGAGGTGTCTGTTGTATGAGGGTGCTATAAGTTGGGATTATCACATCACAAATCTGACCACCATGCACGCATCAAACACGACCTTCTGTATGACAGTCTGCCTGCCAATGTCCAGGCTGCCTTCCCCTGCCGCGTCTTCAACAAGCCGGTAATCCCCGTTCCCCCCGCCCGTCGTCAGGCCGCTGTTCCTGGCGCTGTTCCGGCACGCGCGGGCTCTGAGCGAGCGCGGCTGCCACCGCACGGCCCTCGAGTTCTGCAAGCTGCTGCTCTCCATCCAGCCGGTGGACGACCCGCTGGGGGCCGTGCTCATCCTGAGCCACTACGCTCTCCGCGCGCACGAGTACCAGTGGCTGGTCAGGTACGACCGGGGTCGGCGCGGCGGCCGCGGTCCGGTCGGCCGCCGGCGCGGTCCGCTGCCGTGCGCCGCGGACTGATGGCGGCGGGCCTGTTTGGAGTGGTCGCAAACGGGTGGGCAGGCTCCGGCCAGGTTTGGCGGTGGTCAGGTGTCCGTATAATTTGGCCATGCGCGTGGCTGTTACGTAGTAAAGTTCGGTGTTTTTCACATATTCATTACGTGTGGAAACATGCAGTATGCATGGGTTCGTCTGGCATGTTCCTAACTAGCGCTTGACCTCTCCGTAAGTGGAACTGCGCCGGGTCAGGTCCGCACAACGTCGAGCCTCAGCCAGACGTCCCCGGCGCCGGCAGGCTGCACGAGCAGTGGGAGCCGGTGCGGAATCTCTCGCAGCTGCCCAGCTTCGCCTACTCGGTGCCGTACGCGCTGCTGCAGCTGAGCGAGGCCGCCTCGGAGCCGGCCGACGCCGCCGCTCGCCGCCAGCAGGTGCTGCCACCTGGGGCGCAGCCGCGGGCCGCGCGCGCTCCTGGGGGGGGGGGGGGGGGGGAGACACCAGGGCAGAGACGAACGCTTAGAGAGGGCCGGTGGAGCAGCCACACGGTACCTGAGAGTGCCGCGTAGGCGTGCGAGCGTGCCGTGGAGAGGAGATTGCCGAAAATGTTTTGTGGGCGTCCTGTGGGGGAGGGGGAGCATTTGGCGTAGAGAGGTCCCTCAGCTCGTGATTTCATGTCAGCAAACCTTAATCTGTGCGATCATCGTGGCAGTCGAAGCTGTGTGCGAGACCTCATCTAAGTCAGAAAGCGTGATGCGTTGTCACAACGTTTCAGCAAGCACACTTAGCTTTCTTCGGCTTCCCCCCACACGAACAATCGCGCAGGCCCTGGCTTGAGCGAGCACGACAGAACTCCGTGATTGGACGTCCGTGACCCCCTCCGCAGGCGGACGCCGGCCTGCAGCGTGCCCTGCTCATGTTCCCGTCCATGCTGCCGCTGCTGCTGGAGCACTGTGACATCACGCCGGCCCCCGAGGTGCAGCAGTGCGCCCTCTTCCAGTCGGCCGCCGCCGAGAGGAGGTGGGCGCCAGCTGAGCGGAGACGTCAAGTCCGGCGTAGTCGGTGCCGCGTGAAGCTCGCTGGGGGCGTTGGCCGATGCGGCGGCCCGCGCTGTCCGAGGCCGTGTCACGGCTGGCGGCCGCGTGGGTGGCGTGCGCCGCTGGAATACAGTTACATGTGTTGGAGGAAACCTGCAAGGAGTGCGTCTGATTTGCCTCAGAACCTTCTGCGTTGGCTGACGCTTTAGCTTTGTGTGCAGCGTGCGCTGGAACTGCAGTTTATCGCCATTTCTGTGAAGTGGTGACTTGTGATTCCCGGCTCCCGCGTTTGGACAGCGACTTTCCCGGAAGCCACTTGCCGCGGCGGCGTGGGCGTTTTTGTGGTCTGCCCTGATTGGAATTCGTCCTCCGGGGAGCGGCTGAATTACCGGCCAGCCGGACTATTGAGTGGAGTTCGCTGTTGTGATTAGGCAGCGGCCGGCTGAGTTCCTGCGCCAGTCTTTTCGACAGGCATCCGGCCTCAAACCGGCTCGGTTGCCGCTCATGCGGCCCCCGCCGGGGGGGGGAGGGGGCGAGGGAGCGGCGCCGGCGACGGCTCGCCGCCGTCCGCCGCCGGGCGACAGCCGGAGCCGGCCGAGCGGCGCAGACGTCGGCGCTGCCCGGCGCCTGCCCCGCCCCGGCGTGCGGGTGTCGACAGCGCCGCTGAGTCCGAACCAGCGGCGCGGGAGCGGTCGCACGCCGGCTGGGCCGCGGCTGACTCGGTGACGGCTTTTTTTGTCCGCTGAGCGGGACCGCGAGCCGCTGGCCGCCGGCGGGAGCGGCCAGCGGGGCGGCCGCGCATCTCGAGTGGCGGCCGGTCGCCGCCGGGGTCGCGGCCCGACGGCTGGCTCGGCGCTGGGAAGTTACGCTGGTGCGGCTGGGCTGAGCTGTGAGCTGTGAGCCGTGAGCCGTGAGCCGTGAGCCGTTCATGCTTGGCTCGTCACGGTTCGCTGTCGTTGGCGCTGCAGACCGGTGACCGGGCTTCAAGTGCGTCGGCGAGGAGCCAGCCTGTGTCTGTGCGCGGTTCTGTGGGTGTGCTGTGTTCTTGCGAGTGTGTTTCGTGCGCCTGTTTCGCATTCCGCCCCATGTGTCTGTGTAACCTGTGACATGTGTACGTGTGGGTGTGCTTTGTGGAAGTGGCCCACTTGTGCGTGACATCTGTGGAGTAGCCGTCTCCCACAGCCCCCGCCGGCGTTGACCAGTACGCGTCTTCCTTACAACCGCTGTCTGACAGCAAGCCGTCCGCCCACAGTCAATCCCCGGCTCTGACCATGCTGTGCCGTGGCCCACAGCCAACCCCCGGCGCTGACCATGCTGTGCCGTGACCCACAGCCAACCCCCGGCGCTGACCATGCTGTGCCGTGGCCCACAGCCAGCCCCCGGCGCTGACCATGCTGTACCGTGGCCCACAGCCAACCCCCGGCGCTGACCATGCTGTGTCGTCACCCACAGCCAGCCGCCGGCGCTGACCATGCTGTGTCGGTTGTACGCTGAACGGTCGGCCGACCTCTGGAAGGTGTCAGTCGTGTCCGGCTGGCTGCAGAGAAACGCGGCGGCCGCTGTCCGCCTGGTCGAGCAGCAGGACCCGCGGGTGGCGGACGGTCAGGAGACCAGGAGAAAAAGGTCAGGACGCGCTCCCGGCCGGGCGGCGGGACTCGATCAGGACAGGATGAGACACTAGCGGGCGGCGGGACTTGGGTCAGGATGTGGTCCCGGCCGGCGGCGGGACTTGGGTCGGGACGCGCCCCCGGCCGGCGGCGGGACTCGGTCAGGAGGCGGTCCTGGCCGGGCGGCGGGACTCGGTACGTAAGCGGTCGCGGTTGGGCGGCGGGACTCGGCAAGTAAGCGGTCGCGGTTGGGCGGCGGGACTCGGTCACTTCAGGGCGGAACACGGGCGGACCCTGAGTACCGACAGTGACGTACTTGTTCCACTGTGGTCTTGTGATACGCACCTGATGTGTTTTGTCGACAACTCCTACAGGGTGCGCGCAAGTCCGCAAGTTGCCGCGCAGGTCCCGTGCATCTCAAACCGGGGGGGATGCGTTTCTGTTGTGCCGCGCGACACATGCGGTTCATTTCCAATTCGCCAGACACTCACAACTTGCGCCGCAACTTAAGCTCTACTTCCTGTATTCCCGTATGGGTCCCCCGCCCGAGTGTTTCGCTGATGCGCTGCGAGGAAGACACTGGTCGGGCGGGCCACGGTGCTGACTGCCGATCAGGACGATGTCGCCGTCAGCTGCGCCCCCGAGCCGGCGTTGCCGCCGCCCGGCCGCCGCCACCCGGCCGCTGCCGCCGGTCTGTGGTTGTACACCTCGTGTGAAGCGAGGTGCGGTGGGACCGCGGCGCTGGGGTGCCGTCTAAGGCCGCGGGGGCCCGGCGTGCGGGGCATGAGCGCCAGCGCGCCCCGCCCACCCGTCCGCCAAAGCCGCCTCTGATCGCCGGATCCGCCGGTAATCGGACCGCGCGCGCCGTGGCTGGCGTCTGAGCTGGCCGTGTGGCGGTGCGCGTGACCTGTGTCCCAATTGCGCCGCGCTCGTCTCGAGCAGCTCGGTCGGACACCGGGCTGTGGCCGACGCCGCCCGCGCCTCCCCTCCTACGTCGTCCGCGCTGACCCGCAGTCGGCGCGTCCGTCCACCCGCTGCCGCCCGCGCCTCCCCTCCTACGTCGTCCGTGCTGACTCGCAGTCGGCGCGTCCGTCCACCCGCCGCCGCGCCGCGCCGGCGTCCACGGGCTAGCTGATTTCCCTCGTGCCTGCCGCCGCAGGTACCCGGGTATGCCGCTCTCCATCTGCCGACACGTGGTGGTGGCCGATATCAAGCAGGCCATGGGCTTCCTGCCGCCGGTGAGTGGGCCGGCACCGCGGCCGCCGGGGCGTCGCTCGCCGCCTACGCCCTGTGGGTGTGCACGAGTGGCTGAGGCGGCCCGGCCGCGTGGCGCTCCAGACGTGCTGTCACGCTGCTGTTGCGATGACAGAGATAAGTCGAAGCTGCAGCATCTTTCAAGAACAGACCGAAGGGCCCTTGGCGTGGGGTCGTGGTTTGTATTATTAACATGATCGCTACCATTAGCTTGGCACGGGGAGGGCTTCATGACATTTCATGGCACAAAAGGTTCCTCCGTGGTCATATCTGGCCAAAGACCGGGGCGAAGCTATCCGTTGAACGGGAATGACATTACCTGGCTGATGGGTTCCCGGTACGAGCGGCGGTCCGCTTACCAAGTGCTGTGGGGCAAATTCGGCCCTAGCAAACCGCCCGGAATAGGTTTGGGCGGTCAACAAGCATGCCAGTATATATTTTTACACAACTGAAACATAGAAAACAAGTAGCGAGCTTTCGTTTTAAGATAAGTTTAAATTGTGACAAAAAGGTTTTTGACACGTCGTGATCGGGTTAACCTCATTCGTCAGCGTCTGCGAGAACGTCCCTTGCGAATCGCCATCCTCCATCTCACACCGTGCCCTCACCACCCTGTGTGAAGTCTATGCCGGTCGTCCCGTGTCCAGCCTCTCCCACGTGGCGGCCCTGTCAGCACGTGTCCGCCGCTCTTCAGCGCAGATGGACCGGCCGCCGGCGCCGGAGCCGGTGCGATGCCAACCCGCTCTGGCCGCCGGCGTGACCTGCGTCCCACCCCGGCGGCAATGAATGGCTGAGAAGGTCACCTGGACCCGTCCCCGCCCGTGCGCCCCGCCGCCGGTACATTAGTGATGGCCGCCGCCGGTCCCCTCACACGGCGCCGACGGACGCTGAGGGCCGCCGCGGGATTCGCCGTGTTAGTTTGGCGATGTTGTGCCTGTGGCTGTGGCTGCGGACGTCGCTGTGACCGTGACTGTGGCTGTGGCTGTGGCTGTGGCTGTGGCGGGACAGGGCCGCTGTTTTCCGAGGTTCGGCCTCTGCTGGCGAGCAGCGCTCAGTTCCCGGGGTAAACAGCTGCTGCATGTTATACCGATAAAAAACGGTTGCGGTATCCGTGCATCCACGGCATTCATGCCCCTTTCCTGATAAAGGTTACTACTATAAATGGCTTTGTAGGTGAGAAGTAATTCGTAACTTGCCTGGGCGTCGAGACGATAACGCCATCGAGCTACGTGACCACAGAATGGGCTGAACCCAAAGGAGCAAAGATCTTTTGTCTGCCGACAAAAAGCGGGACTCCGGCTGTCCTCGTGTGGTGTTGTTCGGTCGCGGATGACTGCAGGAGGCGCGGCTCCGGGCCCGGCGGAGGGAGAAGTTGCCCGCCCAGTGACGCGACGAAACGCCTCGTCTTTCTCCCGTTCCCGTTTTTATTGGTTCTGCGGCGTCGCAAGCCGGTGGCGAAGCGGTCCCAGCGCCGCCCAAAGGTGCCGGTGAGGGGGTCGTAACTCACGCTGGCCGGCCGATCCGAGGGATTTGTTTTGGTCGGCGCGCGCCGGCCCGCTTGGAGGCGGGCCAGCGGGCGGGCCCGTTCGTCATCCGCCGCCCATCGGCTGCCAGTTATGCATGCGACGGGACGTAAAACTGTCGTCCCGATGGTCCAATTCGCGAGCGCTGATCGGAACGGTCTGCTCGACCGGCGCCTATCCGCCGCTGGATCGCCACAGACCGCGTCCGGCTGCGGCGGCCGAGGCGGGCGTGGGCCGCCTTTTCCGCGCAGTACTCAGATGTGTGGAGGATATGGAAGCGTTCAAAGTGCGCGGCCGGGGTGTGGCCAGATGCGCCGCGCAGTGTGCTATGGAACCAAGAGCAAGTCACCGCTATGCGCTCAAGTCCCGACATCCCACGTGCGGTGGGTGGCGGCTTGTGTTGACCTGTGAGGACGGCGGAGGTCGGCCGAGCATGACCGGCCGCCAGAGCAGCGCAGTGGACCCTGGTCCGCCTCGTGGACTCTAGCGACGGCTCGGCGCCCACTGGCGGGGCGCGTCCTCCAGCCTGCTGACGGGGTCCTCAGCCGTCAGCGCTCCGCAGCTGACGGGGCGGGACGCCAGCCTCCGGTCCGGCCTGGCGGCGAGCCGGCCGTGTGCTGCGCTGTCGCGGGCCTGGCGCGGTGGTCGGACGTGTCGGCGCAGCGGTCATTCGCTGTCATCGGCGTCGCCTCTCCGTCCGTTGTGCTCCAATAACGGATGCGTCGTTGCAGAGACGTCCAGCCAGTGTCAGCAGCGGCGTGCTCCATCGCCAGTCTCCAGTGTCTCAGCATCGTTCCTCACTAGTGGCGTTCCCCAGTAGCTTGTGTCTCGGAAACTATCCCGGGACCCGGGGCCGTGCTGTTGCCGTGGGCTCGGTCTCTGACTGTCTGTCTGTCAAACGCCGCCCGCCGGCGCGTCACGGCATCGCACGCCGTCGGCCTTTCATTCCGACGCGGTCTGACAGCCGTTCGTTCGAACGCTGTCCGCCGCCAAATGCTTGCGGGAGAAGCGCTGTTTCTGAGGGCCAGTCGGCCGTCTGCCCGGCGCGCCCTGCTGTATGTGACGAAACTGTCAGCAGCAGCGGGGTCTGCTGACGGCCTGTCAGTAGCAGCGGTGCTTGCTGACGGCCTGTCAGTAGTAGCGGGGTCTGCTGACGGCCTGTCAGCGGCAGCGGGGCCTGCTGAGGGCCTGTCAGTAGCAGCGGGGTCTGCTGACGGCCTGTCAGCGGCAGCGGGGCCTGCTGACGGCCTGTCAGTAGCAGCGGAGTCTGCTGAAGGCCCGTCAGTAGCAGCGGGGTCCGCTGAAGGCCTGTCAGTAGCAGCCTGCCGGCACCTAATCGTGGCCTGTCGGCCGCGGCTGGCCTCGTCGGCTGCCGGCGCACCCGCCGCGCCAATTTCATCAGACCAGATGACAGCGATGATCGGCCGGCGCCGGCCGTTGGCGCGCTTTTTACGCGTCGCCGTGGCGGCCGGCACGCTTTTTTCGCTGGCCGCGGCGGCGAGGAGGAGCGCGATTGGACGGCGGCGTGGCGCTGCAGGGCGCGTGCCGTTCGCGCCGTAAGTCGAGGTCCGGATTGCGAGAACGGTCGATGCCGACAAAGGACGGCTTGTCAAAGTTCTGTCGTGTCGTCGTCAGGTGCTTGTGCCGAGTTCGCTTCGCTTTTGAATGCCGGTGTGGGGCTCGAGCGGACTGGCCGTCGCCCGCCTGCGTGACGTCGCCCTGTCTTCGCCATCGACCACTGTCAACGGCAATCGACGACCTTTGGCTCACGGACAAACTTCCTGGTGCTGAAAATTCTCGGGATTTTCCTCCGAAAGTTGAGCGCGGCGCGCGTTTCAGGCGGTTATCGTGGAGTTCTGGCAGCGCCGCCGGCTGCTGGGCATTCAGCTCAGGGGTACGTGCTGTTGGCGCCAATCGTTCGCAGGCAGGAGAGCGAGGAGCGGACCCTGCGGCAGCGGGAGCGAGCAGCCAATTCAGCCGCGCGAGGCTGATGCAGTGTGGAGTTTCCCCACTCAGTGTGCCACCAGCCACGATTCACCCGGTAGCCCTCCCCAACCGCACGCGTCGTGTTTGCACGCCGTGAAGTCTCGCCACCGTTCGCTAGTACCGGCGGGTCCGTTGCTAGCGGCGCCCCGGGTCCCGCCGGTCCGCACCGCCCGGGCTCCCGCCGGTGGGCGCCGCCCGATCGCCGCCGGTCCGCGCCGCCCCCTGTCAGTGTCGTGACCCTGACCGGCCGGCCGCGGACGGATCTACCCGACTCGAACGCGTCGCCGGTCGCCGGCGCCCCGTCGCCCGCTCCGGCCGGCGGAGCGGGCGACGACGCTGGGGCGGGCCCGGGGCGCCTCCGCCGTAGCCTCCAGTGTGCGGGCCCGCCGCTGAGGACGGGCCGGGCCGCGGGGCCGCTGGTCCCAGCGGCTCGCCGTCCGCGCTCGCCGCCGACGCCGCAGAGCCGAGTCCCCGCAGCGCGTGGTGGGGACTGGTGCCGGCGCCGGGTCTCCCTCGACGCGGCTGGTGTCGCGGCGGCTTGGACATTTCCGTTTTTAATTTATCTTCTTGGTCGGCTTAACGAGTTGGAGGGGAGCACTAATGTTCGCCGGCTCGGCGGCATTGTGGCGCGTCCGGGGAGTTGGGCCACGCGAGGTCGGCAGCAAAAACTTCTGTCGCTCCGCGCGCATGACTGCACAAGGCTTTTGCAGGTTTTTGCAGTCGGATGAGTGCTCGTCATATCTGGAGCCGACGAGAGTGTGCTAGTGGTAGCGACGGAGGTGATGAGTGGCTTTGGATAGGGTGGGGTGGCTTTGCGTGGGGATAGATTAAGGATAGGGTGGCTTTGCGCTCGTAGTGGACATTGGCTTTGACTTTACTTTTAGTTTGACGAACTTTGGGCAAGGTGATGCGAATCACCTTGCATGACCGTCGCTTTGCCAAAAGTTATGGTTCCTATGGCAATAGCGTTTGCTTTGCCAATGCCTCTCGCGTCTGTTTGAGTGACCCTGCTCGCCCATCCCGCGAAATCGCTCTGCAAATCCGGTCACTAATCGTGCATTCGAGGCCCCCATAGGGGCGTGGGTGGCTCGGTCGGCAGTGCACATGGGGGCACTGTGCACTGCCGACCGACACTGGGCACTGCACCGCCGGCACTGCACCGCCGGCACTGCACTCCCGACCGTGACACTCCCACCGGGGCCTGCCGCGCGCTGCCCGGGGAGTCCGCGGAGCCCCGCGCCATGGCAGTCGCTGCGGACCGTGACGGTAATGGCTCTGCCATTGGGAGCGCTGCCGAGGAGACGCGGCCACTTCCGCGCTGGACCGGCAGCCGCGGTGGTCTCCCTCCCGCCGTTGTGGGGTGACTCGACATGGCGGGGCGGCGGGCTGTCGGAAGTCGGCCGGCATGTTCACGGCGTCTGTCTGCGGACGGGCTGCTGGTCGGCTCCGGCCGAGCCGCCGCGGCCAGCTGCCGGGTCGCAGTGCGCCGCTGGCCGGCTCCCGTGGGACGCGAAACAGTGCAGGTGGCGCCGGTCGGTCATCGACCCGCCCCGCCCCCGATCACCCCCGCGCTGTGCCGGCGCCGGTCCCGGTGCGTGAGATGAGTGGATCGTGATGGGCGGGGGCTCCCGCGTGCGTGCCTCTGTCTGGCGTGTTCATTCCGAGATGCCGGCGTGTACGGTGCCGCTTGCGCCGGCCGCGGCCGTTCCGAATGATTGTGCGGTGAGATGGCGCCGCAAGTGACGCGCTGGCTCCCATCCTGGACGTGTGTTTCCGCCTCGCCTGCGAGGCGCTTCGCGTGCTCCTGGGTCCGACCGGTCTCTGCTTCCCACGAGAGACCCCGCGGCGCATCTGACACAGCACGTGACTGAGCCCGGCCGGCTGCGGGAGGTGACCCCGTGGCCGCTCACGGGGCCCCTCGCTGCGTCGGCGACCCCGTGACCTCTGTTTCAGGAGGCGTGCTTCCTGCCGACCGTAGCGTGTACCCCGGGCTTGATATGCCGTGCCCCCTGCCCCCGGACTGGCACGCGCCTGCAGCCCGGTGGTGATATTCCCTGATGCAGGGCCTGTCTCGCCACTGGTGACCCTGGTGGTGACCTTCGCTGCAGGAGAGGACCCCTGCCGCGGCGACACCGTGACCCGGTGGTGACCTGTTCCGCAGGAGGTGACCGCTCGGCCGGTGGTGGGCTACGACCCCCTGCCGCCGCCTGACAGCACGGCTGGCTACGCGCTGACCCGGCGGCCGCGCACCCACGGCGTCACCAACCCGCTCGCGTCGTTCTTCTACTCGATGCTGCCCAACTTCGACCCCAACAACCCGCCCGAGGTGCTGCTGGACGAGGGGTGAGTGAGCACGCCGGCCTGCGACGGGCGGGGGCGTGGGCGCTCGTTCGTGAGGGGACGAGCTGCGCTGGCGGCGTCTGTCTCGTAAGATTGCTTGTGTTATGAGTTGGACGCGACTGCCTGTGTTATGAGCTGCCCGCCCTGTCGGGGATGGCCGTGCCATCTCCATTTAATGAAGTTCGTGAAGAAACGCGGCTTTTTTTGTCTTACGGTGAATGAACCAGCGTCTGCTTGCTGACGGAATGCCAGCGCTGATGGGGACTCCCCTCCCCTTCGCCCGCAACCAGCGCCCCTGTCCGATGCGGCGCCGCGGCTCCGTCCCTACCACGGCCGCGTAGTCGGAGCGCGGACACGCTGCAGCCGCCTGCGCGCCTCCCTCCCGGCCGGCGCGGCGGCGGCCGCTGCGCCGGCGTCGGGGCGGCACCGCTCGTTAGCCGGCGGCCCAGTGCTGACGGACGCAGAGCGGTGATTGCGGGTGGCGGGCGGACGCGGCCGGGGCGCGCGCTCCGACCGGCCGGACGGCCGCCAGATCGACCAACTCGGATAAAAGTTTGCCGGCCGGAATAATGCCCGGTCCGGCTTCTGAATTAGCTCGGGCGCGGTCGATATGGCCGGGCGCCGCGGCCGCCGCCACCGGCGGTTCTGCTTACCAGCAGGCCGTCGGCCGCCTGCCGCCGGGGCGCCAGAGGCGCGCGTGGCGGACGCCGGCCGGCGAGGTGACCGCTGCCGCCCGGCTCGACGCGGCGGCTGGAGCCGGCGCTGCGTGGGGCTGTGCGCCAGGGCGCCAGCTGGCAGCGGGGACTCGGCACCCGCGCGGCAGCCGTCACCGCTCTGGGCTTGGAGCTGAGAACCCGGACCTCGACCGTCGGACGTTCTGTGATCGTGTAATCGCGGCGCCCAGCAGTCCCAATAGTCGATCATCCGGTCTTAAACTGTCGCGGTTTCGGTCTCCGGACGTGGACTATAACCGGCGCCGCCGCCGGCTCGGGGCTCGAATAAATCCATCAGCGCGCCGGGTTTCGAATCCGGCTCACAACCGTCACCGCTCGGGGCTGCGTGGCCGGGGCCGAACCGGCGGCGCTTCAGCTGCTAACTGGGGCTGCCACCGATGCGGGCCGCCGGCAGCGGATTGCTCATATAGCTCGCACTGATTCTGGCTGGTAACGTGAGCGTACCGTCAACACCGCTTGGGGCTGCGTGGCTGGAGCCGAACCGGCTGGGCTTCAGCTGCTAACTGGGGCTGCCGCCGACGCGGGCGCCGGCAGCGGACTGGCAGTATTGCTCGCGCGGATTCTGGCTGGCAACGTGAGCTTGCCGTCAGTCGGGATGTCCGGAGTTCGGACGCCGTGATGTCGCGCGGCTCTGGGACCACATCCCGGCTCTGGCCGCCGAGTCGGCCGACGTCGGCCGGCCGGCGCCGACTACAGTCCGGCGATGCCGGCGTGGCCCGGCCGGCGGCTGCGGCCAGCCGGGCGGCGAACTCCGCGGGCGCCGGGGCTCCACCAGCGGAGTGTCACAGCGGCTCACAGCTGGCGCGTCCCCTGCAGACGCCCGCCGCCGGCTGAGCGTTTGCAGGCTGTGGTCGGGCCCGGCCACGGCTTCAAATGGCCTGGGTGCGCAATCTAATTGGCAGTCGTGGAGACTGGGATGGGGTTTTGGCTGTCCGAGCGTCGCGCTCGGTGGCAGACTTTTGCAGCGAGGCTGCACCGTCTAGCGGCTCGGGGTCTTCACCCAGACTGTGACGGACGTTTTTCATGATAAATGTGGCTTACGTAAGTTGTTAAGTGCATTTGCGAGAAGCATTACCCATATAAATTGGATAGTAGTGGTAGCCTTATTCCTCGGGGAAAAAACAGGAGATATAAATGCCTGGATATTTTGGCAGCATGCACTTATCGGAAAAAGAGCACCTCTGCTATCGTTTCGATAAATGGTGCTGAAAAATAATAAATGATAATAAACCGCTAACAATAGATCTCCATTCTCCTGGGTTTCTTCTGAAATAGGCCTATTACAACCGTCTTATCTATACAAATGTGTTGCAGCTGAGTTGTGTGGACCAGCTGCATGATAGGGCTCCCTTCGACTTATGGTTGCACGCCCCGCACGTAACCCTGCGTACATCACATGACTTATTACATACCACACAGATGTGCCCAGATCATGTCATCAAGACTCTGACGCGTCGGACATTTCTCGGTGCGTAAATGGAAGGGATGACGTTACTTTTCATTATGTACACTGCGCTGCTGAGCGTGTCCAAGTAGACTGCGTCCTGTTGGTTGAAGGTGCGCATGCAAGAGCATCTTTTCGGCCACCATCCGCAGAGCCGCACGTATCGCTGGGGTTTGTACCGTCCCTTGAGGGAGAGTAATTGGCATCTCTACACCTCGAGAACGCCACACGACACTGACTTCCCCTGAAGAGCCAGTCGCTCCTCGCCCAGTCCGCCACACGCCGGAAAATCATACACAAGAACATCTCGCCCCGCCTCGTGCCTGCGCCGGCCAGCCGTGCCTGCCGTGCCGGCCAGAGGCGCCGCCGCATCCCCGCCGGCCGGCAGCCGGGTCCGGGCGGCCGCGGGTCACAGGTCATTAGCGGCGCGCCGGCCGGTCCGGGGCCGCTCTCGCGCGCGCCCGCGCCCGGCCCGGCCCGGCCGGCTGATGAGGCCGGCCGTGTCGGCGGCGGCGGCGGCGCCGCTTCGCAGAACAGCGGCTGAGCGCCGGCCGGCGGCGCCCGCGCCGCAGCCGCCGCCTCATTTCACGGCGGGTTTAATTCGAACCGGACGGTCCGGGAACGACGGCGGCGGCGGCGGCTCTCAGCGCCGGAAGCCTTCCGAGAGATACGTGTGTCTGTGTGTGTGTGGGGGGGGGGGGGTATGTGTGTGGGTCGGTCGCGCCGCTGAAGACGTGCGCATGTGCTTGCGGCTTGGCGACGATGGAGTGCCGGTCTGCCACCGTGTGTGGAGAGCGGCTGCACCCCGGCCTTGGCTGAGCCCGCGGTCGTCGCAGATTGGACGCGCCCTCCACTAGGCTTTCCAGTTGATTGATGATTTGCGTTGTTCGTTTATTCAGTTTTCCCGATGGTTGGCTTATTGTGTCGAGGCTTTCAGTGTGGGCTTCTTTCGTGTCGGCGTTTGATATTCGCTCTGAGGCCGATGTGAAAATATATTAAGTAAAAGAAACTATAAATAACGTGATAAAAGGCCAGAGATTTTAGTTGGAGGTCGTCCCTTTCCATCTGCCGCAAGTAGTATGTATACGTAGTCTCTTAAGTGTTCCTTGTCATATCGTTTCATGCCATGGTATGTCCCTTTAAGTGTCCCCTGTCATATCGTTTCATGCCATGACATGTCTCTTTAAGTGTTCTTTGTCATATCGCTTCATGCCACGGCATGTCATCTTACGACAATCCGGTCTCCTCAAAGTCTCCAGCGTAATGTCGTTTGCTTCCGGGCAGGACGTGCTCCAACCCGTCCGTGGACAGGGTGGGCCACGCCCGCGGGCGCCCCAGGTGGCGCTCCGGGCAGGAGTGCCCCCCCCCCCGCCCCTCCCGCCGGGCCCAACGCGGGGAAGGCGCGCCCCAGAAGCTCGGGGTTCGTACCTCGGCCTGTTTGCCACCGCCGCCGCCGAGTTGCACCAGAGGCATTAATTACGGATGATGTACGAGCGCGGCCGGTTGAATTAGCGGAAATTGATGAGCGCGGAGCCAGAGGTGACGGGGCGCCGTTTTTGCCGCGGCTGCGGGCCGCCTCTTGTGGGATGGGGATGTCGAGCAGCCAGCGTCGCTGGAGAGCACAGCGCGTTGGTGGCGGCGGAGTGTAATGCATACAACAGGCACTAGGGTTGCACTTTGCTGCCTGGTAAGATACGGATAGATAAATGTCGGACGTGGGTGGCGTGATGTGAATGCTGTCTTCGTTTTAAAAAGTTTTCTTATTTTCTGGTGCCCTTGTTATCGGCGTGGCACGTCGCATTCAGCAGCAATGACTCAAGCCTTTGAACTTGAAGCTCAGTCCCCTACTCCCCCCCCCCCCCCACATGACAAGGTGCTTCCGTCCTTACCCGCCGTACTAAATAGGAATGATGAAATAGTGATAAAGACAAAAACGAATCAATTATGAAATGACCTTTAACTTTTCTCTAAAAATCAAAATTAAGTAGCCCACATGCACCAAAACAAATTGATTATGAAATAACGTTTAACATACTCTGAATATCAGAATAAGGCTGTCCACATGCACAGAAACAAATCAGTTATGACGTGACATTTCAACATTCTCTAAGTATCAAAATAAAGCGGCCTACATACGAGGGAAAAATACCATTTGGAGAAATTTTAGTTTGATCGATTGGGTGTGGCTCTCCCAGCCGATCTTGCGACAGATCCGACGGCTAGGGTGAACAATCGCCAGAAATGATTTTGCCGCTTCAGGGAGCATTCGGATCGGGTGTTTGGGTCCAATGTGAAATAACCGCTGCCGCTCTGTCCGGCTGAGCGCCGCCGACAGCCAATCAGGGCGCAGCCTTCAAAGAACCCCGACCGCCAATCTCGCACACCGGCGGCCCTGGAATGCCGGCGGTAGCAGCGGCCGCAGCGAGCTCAAACTCGGCGAAATTGATGGGAGCGGATGCGCGGCATGTCAGCGTTGAGGCGTGCGAATCACAGCAACAAGCAGCCGCCAGCTGTCACTCGGGATGTAAAATTAAAGAAAAGACATCCATTTTCAATGCCCTGCTATTCGTGTTGCGAATTCTACGGAAAGTGTGCGTGGGTCGTGCTTGGTTCGGAGGACGCTGCAGGTAGGGTGCGCTGGTAGCGGCCGGAGCTGGTCGCAGTGTCTTGACAGCTAAAACGCTTTCACCTCCACTCTCCCTGGTCTGAAAAGGTTGTGAATGGTCGCCTTGTCAGGCCTTCCAACGCTACGAGACGGGCCAGCCTCCGGTGTTGGACAAAAATGGCTAGCTGGCGGGCTGTTCCACCCGTTGGTAAAAGCCCTTCAGGCGGCGGCGGTGCATCGTTGGAGTCGTTTTTGCGCGCGCTTTACGTGTAGTTCGGTATCCGGCTGGCTATTTCCGTTGCGGCGACACGAAATCTGACGATCATGTTAAATGAATTGATGGGAATCGACGAGACCGTGAAATTGCGTATTGAAGGCACAACACCGTATGGCAGTTTTCTGATTGTCGTCAAAATCCTACCTTGCGTCCTTAATATTAATTTGGGCTCCTGCTGTGTCGTGAAGAAGCGCTCTTTTCACACGACTACATTGTGTCCATAGGTCCGAAAGATGTAAGGCAGATTCAGGCGTGCATTTTGTCCTCCAAACTGTGTTCCAGGAACCGATCATTTCATGTTCAGCAGTCATTAACAACGCTTTGGCATACTTTGTCCTGCGCCATGTGTTCCCTCGTGCCCTCCCATCCCGTCTCAGATGCAGCGCTAGTGTGACAGGTAAGTTCACTACATGTGGTCTTTAACGGTTCCGGTGGCGTATTGCCGTTCTCCTAACGCACTCCTCCAAATGTGGCCGGCCTGGTCGGGGGGGGGGGGGGGGGGGCTCCGCCGGCCGGCCCGACTGCCGTGGAGACGTGCCGCCGCTGTCAGCGGCGCGCCGGTTGATCGACGGCGGCATGGTCGGCGGCGGCGGCGCCGTCCTGATCGCTGGCCGCGCCGGCCTCGGTGGCCGACGCCTGACGCCGCGGCCCGGCTGGCGTGGCTTGAGGGGAAGGGCGGCGCCGGCCTGATCGCTGGCCCGCCGGACTCCGATGACCGACGCCGGACGCCGCGACCCGGCTGGCGTGGCTGGAGGGGAGGGGCGGGGCCGGCCTGATCGCTGGCCGCGCCGGACTCCGGTGACCGACGCCGGACGCCGCGGCCCGGCTGGCGTGGCTGGAGGGGAGAGGCGGCGACGGGTGTTCGATCTATCGGCGGCCGCGTTTGATTCTCGCTTCGGAAGTTTTCTGCCGCCGCGGTCCGGTTGGAGATGGATGTACCGATGGCGTTGGTAGTCGCATGCGTCGAGAGGTGATGGAAGCTTGTTGTTTTGATTGTTTTATTGACCTGTCTAGGGTCGACCGAAATGCTTGCCGTAAATGAACGGTTGCGAAACGGGTTGTATACAGGCGAGCAATGCTTTCTCGGAAATGTCGGTTCTTACTGATTTCGTTTATGTGTTTATATTTAGTTTTACATCGCTAGTTAAATGCCTAACAGGGAAGACGACAGCCTTACGCAACGTTGTCTTTTTTATTTTTGTTTTTCCCTGACAAAAGAACAAAGTGAAGTGCGTGAGCGATGGACTGCCCATCAAGCGCTCGCTTCAGATACGGCAGAATTTTAAAACATTTTACTTGCGCTAGGAAAACATTGCCTCCCTGGAGCTCAGAGCTATTATGCTGAGTTATCGATCTTCATCATGCCAGGAGGAACAAGTCAAACGAAAAGTGATGACAAGCACAACACGTGGGTTATATTGACAGTGCTCAAGGTTTCAGTCTTGGCTTATGCTAACGAGTGCTAGGGTACTCTTATGGCGTATGCATAAACCCAGCTTTAACCGCCCGGTCTGTAATGTACCTGAAGTCTGCATTACTAGGTTGTTTAACTAGTGTTCCTAGTGTAATGCAGGTCGATAACTCAGTATAAGAATTATGAACTCATAATGACGAAAAAACGTGAACTGGAAGCTTTCGTTTCTGATCAAGAACATTACATTTGTTGCATCTGCATGTGTATTTTTATATTTGTAGATTCCAGCAGCTGGTGCTTAATTTGCGTGTGAGGATTTTTCACCACATTGTTAAAAATGTGCCGCATCACAAGGCCTTTGGTTCGGCCTATCTCCGACTACGTAGATGTTGATGCTCGTCAAGACAAAGGCTGGCTGAGAGCCAGCAATAACCACTGTGTGCTCTTTTTGAGCTGTGCCTTTCAAGTTGTTATCCGGCTGTACTGCAGTGTTAAATCCCCAGGGTGGTGCCCTAAATTACTCCCGAGCTCCACCCTGACACATTTCTGAGTGGTGTTAATCGCGCGCGTCTGAAGAAGAGCGCATGCTTTTGTGCAGTTAGATGAGACAGAGCCCTAAAGCGGCGGCGCCGCGCTGTGCGTGCGCAAACAGTGGGCGCCACGCTGACAGGCGACACGCGCTGAACACCTGTACCGCGCCTGCGGATACGCTTGTGTTCTGTCCGCTGACGCGAGGCGCTTGATGGAGCACGTGCGTGCGACAGCCTGGTGGTCAGGTGGTGAGGTCCGCTCAAGGGCCTCTCCCGGCCGTCGCTGTGGTTGTCGTTCGCCGCCGCGTGGTCTGCTGCGGCCGCGTCAGGGGAATGCGACACCCACGACGGCTCCCCCGCATTCGCGTCGTGTCTGACGGAGCGCGTCGTGCGATGGTCGAAAGGCATGGTCTGGTCCTTTCCTCTCCCGCCGCGGGCTTCCCTCGCGGTTGACGTAGCCTGTTGGCAATGTGGTCGCACGGCCGACAGCGTGCACGGTTTCTGATAGCGCCCTCTCACCCGTACTGCCTCTCCTGCGTAGCACAGCTGCCGGACCTCACGAGAATGCTCTCTGGCGGCTCCCTCTCTCGTTCCCGCACCGCCCCCACGCTGAGGCGCCGCCTGCAGACCACACGGCGTCAGGCTCAGGTGCCTGCCGTCTCCGCCGTCGCGCCCGCCTCACCTGCGCTATCGATCGCAGCGCTGCGGCCGGGCCGGCGGCCGGCGACGACGGCGTCGGCCTCGGCGAGGAGCTGCGCACCTCGGTCGTCTCGCTGCTGGACGCCATGCGCGACCTGCTCACCAACCTGTCGCCGGTGCCGGCCACCGTCGATGAGGACGCCGACCTGGACGAGTCGGACGACGACGCCTGGGCCGACGCGTGAGGCCGCGGCCGGCTCTGGACACCGCCCGAGGGCGCCGGTGAGGTCACACGCCGGAGCGCCGGGGTGTCGGAAGGATGGTGTTTCACGCCCGAGGTGGCGTGAGGTCACAGGCCGGTGGGTGTCACGTGGGAGCTGAGCTCGGTAAGGCCAGCAGTGCTACAGCGGTCGCCGATGGCGTGGTCGGCATGGTAGGTCAGCACAGCCTTCTAGCGTTTTCTAGCGCTCAGCTTTCATTCAGTGCCAAGTGTGTCTGCCTTGATTGCCTTGAATTTAATCGTTAATTTCGGTTCAGACAAGAAACGTGCAGTGAGGGGCGGCTGCGGCGGTGGCCGTTGAGCTTTGTAGGTAGTGCGGGTGGCCGGCTCAATGGGAAATGACCCTTCCAACCAAAGCGCATTTTCCCCTCGGCTAACCACATCCGGTCGGGCCTGCAGTGCCCGAATGGATTCCCGTCGGGTAAACGAGGGTCATTTGCAGTGTCGAACGGCCACCGTGTGCGCCCAGTAACAAGCTAATGGCCCGGCAAATGCACTGCCTCGCCCAGCGGCGCCGCGGCCCCCGCGCCAGCCGCCTCTGAGGTCGGGCGCGGCGGCGTCCGACGCGAGAGTGACGGCTCGTGTTTGCGCCGCCGGCAGGGGGCGGTGGCCGGCCGGAGACGGTAGACGGATTTCTCCGGAGGCTGCCGTCGGAGCGGCTCTGGGGAGGTGTTGACCGCCGCCGCCGCCGGTGGCTCTACTGCTGTTCTGCCGCTGCTGCTGCTGCTGATGCCACTGATGATGGTGACAGTCACGGCGTCGCCGCTGTCGCCACTGCTGGAGAAGGGTGGAGAAGGTGTGCCGTTTGCAAAGGGGGGCAAATGCATCGTGAGAGGTTATTTTTGCAGATTGTGATAACCGTGCTTGGGTGCAGCGGTGCCTCCAAGGGATTTGAGCAGACAGGTCGGCTATGTCGTCCAGACTGGGGTGGGGCGCACAAGTGGTATAATAAAGGAGTGAAGGAGTATATGGCGTGTTCATCGTGTGTGGTTCCGCAGGCTTCATCACATTAGCACGATTTATCCCAACCTCCACTAGCCCGTTGCTAATGCGGTAGCAAAAGCGGCTTGCGGAGCACGTTCCGATTTTCCCATGGATGCTAAACACCAAGCTTAGGGAGTACGGAGCATATAGACGGTGTTGCGCGCCAGCATCTGCCTGCAGGTTAGCAGCTATGTTCTTCCGCACCTTGTGTACCACGTTGTGCAAACGGTCACAGCTATCTGAACGGAAGCTGAGCGCGCATCCCGAACAGGACCCGGTTCACACGTCTCCAGCCCACCGCTACGCCTTTCGTTCTCGCCATGTCCACATCTGCCCCATGTCCATCCTCGTCCGCCCGCTGCTCCTGCCCCTGCCTCGTCGGCGCATTAGTCGACGCGTCTCCGCCGTCCTGGCGCGGACCGGCCCCGCCCCCGGGGCAGCCTAGCGCCACACACCCCCGCCCCCGGGGCAGCCCAGCCCCACACATCCCCGCCCCCGGGGCAGCCCAGCGCCACACATCCCCGCCCCCGGGGCAGCCTAGCGCCACACACCCCCGCCCCCGCAGCACAGCGCCACACATCCCCGCCCCCGGGGCAGCCCAGCGCCACACATCCCCGCCCCCGAGGTAGCCCAGCGCCACACACCCCTGCCCCCGCAGCCCAGCGCCACACACCCCCGCCCCCGGGCAGCCCAGCGCCACACATCCCCGCCCCCGGGGCAGCCTAGCGCCACACACCCCCGCCCCCGCAGCACAGCGCCACACATCCCCGCCCCCGGGCAGCCCAGCGCCACACATCCCCGCCCCCGAGGTAGCCCAGCGCCACACACCCCTGCCCCCGCGGCCCAGCGCCACACACCCCCGCCCCCGGGGCGGCCTAGAGCCACACAGCCCCACCCCCTGGGCAGCCTAACGCAACACAGCCCGCCGTCCCCGGGGCAGCCCGCCGCCCCCGGGGTAGCCTAGCTCGTATCGTATCACCACATATCCACGTCTCCGGCCGCCCCCGGGGCAGCCTAACGCCAGACATCCCCGCCCCCGGGGCAGCCCACCGCCACACAGCCTCCGCCCGACCGAGTAACGACCCATAATTGCGTTTGAGCCGCTCTTTGGCGCTGCGCGGGCGGCGGATGGGGCGGCTTATGCGACCCGTTGACACCATTAACGGCGGGGTCAGCCGCGGCGCGTGTCGGCCGATGTGGGCAGGTGGCGCTGGCATGTGGGCGGGTCATTGGATGACGAGTGGTCTTGTCGAGCTCCGGCGGGCGGCGGGAAGCGTGGGCGCCCCTCGCTGGCGCGGGCTCACTGCCGCGCGGCGAGCGGTAGGGTGATCGGATGGGTGGTGGTCCCAGGTGAGTGAGCGCTGGCTGGTACGCGAGACAGGTGTCGACACGCCAACATTCAACGGCAGTTAAACCGGGCGATAACCCGGCGTGAGCGTTTCGCTCGTCAAACGGCGGTCCGATACAGACGACGGGCGGGGCGGTTAAGTTCGTCGCGTAGCCATTGACCGACTTTATTGCCGCGACCTGCCGGCTTTGTCGCATCTGCGGCGCTGATAAGGCTAATGGATGCATGAGAGTTGCGACGGAACGTCCATTTAAGCATTTTGAACTGCTCGACGGGCTATTGATGTAGCGCTTTCTCAGCTCCTTCCTCGACTCTGTGCGTATCGGCGGTCCCTAGTGTTCGGGTCCTCCAGCGAAGGAGGGCTGCTTACCGGCCATCCCTGTCGAGCGCCGGCCACCCGTCCGCGAGTTCCCCGACGGCGGGCGCTGTCCGTTTCCCGTGATGAAACGCGCCTTTGATGCGGCCGCGAATCCTCCGTGATCGCTTCGTCAGGCAGCTGGCACACTGCGTGTCGGCGCGCCCTCGGAACCCAACGGACCGCTTCGCAGCGAATTTTGTTCTTTTGATCTTAAATTCCGGTGGCTGTGCTTCCAAAAAGCAACGCTGGGCGTCACGTAAAATCGTTGCCGGCCGTAAGTGGGAGCCAGCGCGCAGTTTTCTGTTGTATTCTGAAGCCGTGACAAGCCGCCTGGCATACCGAGCTAAGTGCGTCATTGCCTGCAAAGCATTGGGCCTACGCCACAGCTTTTCAGATTGAGTGTTTCTAGGACGTGGATAAAATTTTGACGTCGTAAATCAGCTTTTCACTCGTAAATCAATGTGGAACAGCGATGAAACGGAATCTTGTGCCGGTTGGAATGCTGCTCCGCCGTGATAACACTAAAGAACAATATTACGCTGCAATGTGGGGGTACACCACTATCGCACCATTTTCGTTCATTAATACGCGCCGGGTGACTGATAAAATACTTTTCTCTCCAGCGCGAGTCGTTTTGAACTGGAATCTAAAAAGACTAGGAGCGCTGGATATAACAAACTCAGAGGGTGAATTGTTCTGTATGTCAATTTGCTCTGCTCGAGATGAGAGGTTCTTAGGTCAGGGTAGGTATGATTTCAGGATTTCGGGTAGGACCTCGGTAGGACTTCGGGTTAAGTAAGGTCAAACAAGGTCAATCTCCAGACTGGTGTCTCAAGTGCCCCTAGACCTCCTGGTGCATACGCCTTGAACCTAGATACCTGCTTTAAGTATAAGGCCACTGGTATTCACTTGATGTCAGTGGCCTTGTTTGACCTCTAGAAGGTTTGGTGGCCAAAAACCCCGTGAGATTGTTTTGAATTTTGGCATTTGAATGAACGTCATGGATTACGCTAGGCGGTATGTTCCTAAAACAAAATGTTGACCTGGGTCATTTTAGTCAGTAACCCACCCACCCTGACCTTTTGAAATGTTCACGAAAGGTGCCTGTTGCTCTCTCTGTTATCAATAACTTAGAAATAGGCCCCAGAGACTATCCCATACAACAAGCTCTCCAGTAAAAAAGCAGGTTAGTTTGACCTTGGTATGACCTTAACACCTGACCTTAGGGCAATGGAATTTGTTGCGATCTTAAATGCAATTGTTTTTGCCCAGGAAGCTATCTCAAAGATATATGGTTTCGTCTAGCATCGGTGTCGCATCAGATTGAATGATTCCCTATAAATGTGCGTCGCTGCCAGCCACGGCTTGACTGACCTGTCATAGGTCAGCGACCTTACAACATATGTCTAATTTCGCATACCAGTTGAAACGCTATTCATTTGCTTACAACGATGCAGGGTTTCTTTGTCACGCCATTCGAAAATAATCAAAAAACCCTCTGAGGTCAAATTGACCCCCCATCCGAGCGCGTGTTTAACGGTCTGTGTCAAGCGGAAAACATTCAGAGCATCACCACCTTGAGCGGAAATTAAGCGCATGCAGGCAAGAAGCACATTGGTGCATAAATTATGAGGCGTCGATGTCAAACTGTAAAATAAGCACGGTCCATCATTAACCACTTGCCCTTAGCAGGTCGTTCAATGCATCCCCTCCCCAGTGGCGCCACCGACCATCGGTCCCGCGTCGTGGCGTAGTTCGCCCGCGTCGGTCGCACCTCGCCGAGAAACCCTCCTAGTCCGAGCACTGTGACGCGACAGGCTGGGCCTTCCGATCTGATCCGTGTCCGGGTCGGGGTCGATCCTTTGATCTCCAGCGCAGCCGACCCCGCGACGCCCGGGCCCAGGCCCCGCTGACCTCCGCGTCGGACGCCGGGCTTCCGGGCGCGACACGACGCTGCCGGGGGCTCGTCCCCTCCCCCCCCCCCCCCGCTGTCCCGACGGAAGGCTGGCGGGTGGGCGTCGCTAATTAAGTAAACGCGCGGCAAATTGCTGGAGGATGCGCGATTGCACGTTGTTGGCAGATGCCATACGGCGTGTTCAACAAATTACCCTGATCAGTGGTTGGATGTTACGGAACGGATCGGTCCCAGCGAACAGCTTTTTGATTTCGTGTTTCCTAAGACGAACAGTGCCTATTAGTTCGATAAGGTTTATTTAGCTTTGCCTTCGGTCGAATCGTAGCACTTAAATGCTGTCATAATGACCGTACCACCGCCGCGTGCTTGCGTGTTATTGAGCCCGTGCTTACCTGCCAGTGGGCCCGTGCATACCTGCATGCCTGCATACCTGTTTATCTGCCATTGTGCCCGTGCCCACGCGAAAATTGTCCGGAATTACTGCATCGCAAAAATGAAAATGTCGGCAAAAGATGACTGACAAATATGTAGGCAGACCACCTATTCTGCAACTTTCTACTTGTCTAACCCCACAGCGATATGTCGTCGGTGCGGTTATTGTGTGTGTTGTTGCGAGCCATCAATATTAATAAAAAAAACACCTTAAATCGACCACTTACTACCTTAAACACGACCTGCTGGACTGTTCTTTTATGATCTATCTATTGCCGGCCGTCGACAGTCCGTGGCGCAGTCGAAGCGTCGATAGTGGCGCAGTCGAAGCGGAAGTGCAGCTCGTCTCGGCCCCGGTGGCGCGCTTCGAAGCGCTCAGCTGGTGCCGTCTCAGATGTCTGCGGCGTTTCAGCCGCGGCTCGCTGTGCAAATCGCCGTGGGAAGCGGCGAGACTGGCGCAGCGGCGGCGTGCGGTGCGCTGTCGGCGCTGCGGCTGCAGGAAATGGATGAGACCGTTGCCGCCGCCATTGTATTGACGTGCTGCAGCTCGCCTTGTCCTGTCGACAGCCACTGTGGCAACAAACAGTGGCTTCCTGCGAAGGCGCGATGAAGGGCACCACGCTGAAATCCGAGATATCATGTGTGGATATTCATCGGATTCGAGGAGTTGGTCCCAATAAAAGCTGACAGTCGCACACTGGGAGCCAAATGACCATTGCGGTCGGCGCGCCAGAAACCCCCAGTAAATAATAAATGACAGTTGCACAGCCTCTAGTGTGTACCCACAGGGCGCATTGCGATCCACAAAATAGCTTTTCATTTGAAATCAATGTAAGATAGCGGTGCATTTGTCGTATGGGAAACGGGGCATCGACGGACCACGCCATATTTTTACAACATGAACTATGAATATTGCACCGCTAA